AACACCAAACAAGGAGCTAAGGGAAGCTAAAACACCCATTGGCCACTCCAAAAAAAAAAAAATAAATAAATAAATACAATATCACCTGCAAAGATAAGCATAAATATTGAAAACCCAGAAGCCAAAAACTAAAACCCAAAATACGAATTAGAATAATAAAAAAACAGAGAATACCCCCAAATATGGTACCTGCTTTGAGACACGTCATAGATCTGACCCTTGATAGCCATGAGCAAAGGCTTCGTGGAATCGGTGCCGTCGTATTGCTTCAACTCGTCTTCAGTGATCTCGCCCAACTGGACAGGAGGGGCGAGAGGCTGCATCTCCTCCATGTTCCTGGGCGTATGATGGTTATCAGACGACCCAAAGAGGCCCGAGATGACATGGTATATGGCAACCAGCAGAGCTAACAGTGTGAAGAAGGTCGCAGGAGAGAGCCCTGTGTATGCTACGATTGCCTCTTTCAGTGTTTCCCACAGTTGCAGAGCCATTTTTGGTTTCACTGGAGAGCCAGAGAGAGAGAGAGACTGAGAAGGAGAGGGCAAAGGAGAGAGAGGAGATTGAAGAAGCGGAGAAATTTTATCGACTCCCAGTCCGAGTCATAGCGGGGTAAGTAATGTTTCGTTTGGTTTCGTTTGGTTTCGTCCTAATTCGCACTGGTCCCACCATCACCCACCAACTCTTTTTTATTTTAATTAGGAAAAAAAATCCCTCTATTTTTATGTTTTTTCTTTATTTATTTTTAGTTTACTTCCTTTTATGAAATTAATTTCATTTTAATTTCCTCAGATTAGACTAATAAACAACAATATTTTTCTTTAAATTGGTATCAAAACAGTCATTCCATAACATTTTTCTTTAAATTGGATCATATGGACGGCAAATGCTCCAAATATAGGGGTAAATTGGACTTTTTACCAAAAAACAAAAACCCCCCAGTTCTCTCATCACCCCCCTATCTGTCCCACCCTCATTAACAGCCCTCACAAAAAACCCCAGCCGCCACACACGCCGATTTGCCTAACCTGCAGCCGCATCTCTCTCTCTCTCTCTCTCTCTCTCTCTCTCCATGTATGTAGAATGGAAACAAGATGAAGGGTAGGATAAGTAATGGCAGCCCACAAATTGCACAGCACTTGAGGTGAATAAAATTTGAAGGCTAATTAGCATTACCTTTTGCAAATACATTAACTCTCCATCAATAAATAAATAACGAAAACAAATGTAAGCTTGCCACTGCATTGTGCCAAATTCCCGCACAATAAATTCGAAGAGCAGCAAAGCAAGACAATGGTTGCAGAGGCTCGGAATCAAAAGCCACCAGAGCACCAGGAAACAGAAACGCAACAAACACGACAACATACTGCATTTGTACTCACTCACTGCTTTCAATCAAGCCTACGTTTTGCTTCACAATAATCATGCTATGAGAATTTGGAAGTGGGTTCTGCCGAAATGGAAGAAGGATTGGTTGAAAGCCCAGAACTTGAAATCGCAGTAGCAGCAAGAGATGGTGGTAGAGAGACGAGGAGGCGAACATGGGTTTGATTTGAGTGGGAGTGAATGGGTAGATGACTGTGATGGGTTTGAGTCAGATTTTTTTGCGGAAGCCATGGAAGCCACTGTTCCTGCTTGCTGAGGAGGGGAAAGTCAGATTTTTATTTTTATTTTTTTGGGTTTTAGATGTTTGGGCATTTCAGTTTTTAATTTTTTAAATATTATTTTACTTTTTTGCCCCCTCAGTTTCACAGAATATTTGACAAACTTTGACGGTAAGACCGTTTTGATACCAAATGAAGAGTTGAAGGACTATTGAAATGAAAATTTTAGTTGGTGAACCAAAATGATACTGGAGCAATAGTTAGAGAACCATTTCGGTCATTAATCCTACATTATAATAAACACACAGACGGAAAGTTTTATTAATTAAGGGTTAGAGGCTGGTAAAACATTCTTTACAATTAATTAACCCTTTATTTATTTATTTATCAAAGAGCAAGGGAGGCCACTTCATCTGCTTTCCACATCCCTTCTTCATATCTATGCCACCTGATGATCCCCTCGTCGTTTCTGGTCCTTTGGCACATGCTGCACGAGTCTTCCCGCACAAGCATGGCCGTAGGCATACGCATGCACGTTATAAATCTCTTTAACCTTGAAGCCTTGTCAACAATGGATGCATCAAGTTCCTCAACAATTCTAAAAGGTTGATGAGGCTGATGGGTTTCATCCAATACAACGCAATGCGATATGTTGAGAACTTCCAAGTTGGGTAGGCTCTCCAATATCACCATCAAAGCGTCCTTCGACAACATCGAGCACCGGAGGCTTAAAACCTCCAGTTTTGGAAGATATCTAACCATTGCCGAGGCAAAGGAATTTGTATCACAAGTACCCATCAATTTGAGTTCCCTGAAGTTCTTGCAGTTGTCGTAAATCACCTGCAAGAGAGTGAGGTATTGATATTTTTCTATGTTCCCTATTGTCAGCGATTCAAGATGTTTCCAACACCCAATGGCCTTGCTGATGCCATCAATCTTTATTTTGTTCCAAGATGGCATAACTAATCGTCTCAGCTTCGGGCACCTGTGATCGATAATTAAGAAGAGAAACAATTAGTTATGTAATTATGTAAATCACCATCGTTTTGAAAGAGCATTTACCTACGCATACCTTTCAGCGGTGTAAGTGAGGAGGTCGTCGGGAACATATAACTGGAGATTGAAAATCAAGGTGGTTATGTTTTGGTGGCTGAGACTCAGAGAAACCTTCAAAACACGACTCAATGTCAAATCGGACTGGCTGCAAACATAAACATACGGCTCATCTTTGGTTTTGATGAAATTATGTTTAATCATTGACAAATCAAGTGTATGCCAAAGGTGGGGATCGCAGAGAACCGAACGCCATGCACTGCAAACGGCACTGCAATGGACCTTCTCAACGGCGGAAGATAAATCAGAGACGTCGTTGAAGGACTCAAAAATCTTCCACAATATGTCAGTGCTGAGGTCTTCCCATCTCCCCAAAGTCTTCCCATCTTCCCATTCCATTGTTTCAGAAGCCAAGCAAATCGTATAAATTCTTAACTAAAGAAATTGGTTAAATGGTTAGTGTATATAGTAACCACAAGGGAGCGGAAAAGTTCTTAATATTGAGTTTTCTACGGTCAACTGGGTGGGCGTTAGATGTATATATAGAATATTGAACAGAAACCAAGTCCTATTTGGATAGGGATGAGAGACCAATAAAACAATATTAACAAAACCCAAACTCCAAGCCCAAGCCCCAAAAACCTAGTTGGTTTAGAGCACGATGCTCAAGCAGCACAGGCATAGAACTTTCAAAAAAGGCAGAGACATAAGAAAGACAAGTAATTACATAATGTACAGTACTGAAACATATGTTATTTAGAAACACCTCTCTTCATCAGGCAGTTTTATTTATGTTTTAACGAAGAAGAGGAGATGGAGCTTTGAGACTACATAAGCGAGCTATATTAGCTTCTAACCCACAAATACAATTAGAGTCTCATTCCCTTGCTCTCATCATCAATAAGCAAGGGACCGCACCTCATCTTCTAGCCATAGCCCTTTTTCATACTTATACCACCTCATGAGTCCCTCGTCGTTTTTGGTCCTTTGGCACATGATGCACGAGTCTTGCATGCAAGTTAAGAACATCCGTAAACGAGACGCCTTCTTGAGAATAACTGGATCGAGTTCTTTAAGAAGTCTCCTGGGTGCACGAGGTGGAGCGGTATCGATTACAAGGCAATGTGAGATATTGAGAACTTCTAGGTGTTGTAGGCCATCCAAGATAATGATTAACGCGTCCTTTAAGAGCATTGAGCACCGGAGGCTTAAAACCTTCAGTTTTGGAAGATACGCAACTAGAGTCGAAGCAAAGAAGATGTCGCAAGGCCCCATGATCTTTAGTTCATTGAAATTTTTGCAGTTCTTGGCAATCTCCTCCATAAGGTATGGGGGATTCGCTATGCTAGGCATTGTCAGAGATTCAAGGTCTTTCCAGCATCGAATGGCCTTGCAGATTCCAGTTTTTTTAATTCTGTTCCAAGCTGGCATCACTAGTCTCTTCAGCCGTGGACACCTGTTTTGACAAAGAGAAACAACCTCATATCATACATCTAAATCTCAGATTAACTTTAACCCGTGCAGGACATTCTGTACAGAGCAGGACTAAACTTCAATGTGTAAAGAAACATTATAATTCCATAACAATTGACAAGTGAACACATCTACCATGTAACTGAGTATCTAATTCGGCGGATGTCAGATTTTCGCATTCCTCCTTGTATTAATAATCAAATGCCTAGTTCTTTTTTCTTTTCTTTTTCAAATTAAAAACAAAAACAAAAAAACAAGAATGCAGTCAAAACAACCAGCAGAAATTGCATCCACACCTCCAACATTTATAATTATGGTAGCACATTAACATTAGCACATGCATCACTCACACATAAATTACAGATTAGTATAAAATTATTACCTAGCCTGGACTATAAAGTACATAATCTACACACAAAAACAGACTCCAACGTTCAAAAATTAATTATTGGTGTTAATTATAAAAAATTTGTAACCAATGCGTATGAGTGAACTGAATTGGAAGTAAGTTAGAGTTGAGGAGAAGAAACCAATAATATGAGAGAGAGAGAGAGAGAGAGAGAGAGAGAGAGTTTGCTAGCGTACTTTTTTCTTTAATAGTCAAGACATTATAAGAGCGCTTAAGAGAAATATAAACTTGTTAATTAAAGGATGCAGTTTTATTTCAAAAAATTTGTTTATGTGGAGCGAGGGATTCAATAAACATGTCTAAATTACATAGTATAGTAAATACATAATTACTTAAGTCTTATACAACATTTAAAACGATAAGCTAAATGTACCAGTTGAATGATTTACCATTTTTATATACGGGCCAATATAACTTTTATAGTAATGGAATGTAAAAGGGTATAGGCAGATGCCAGAGGGAGGTGGGATTGAAGTAAAATCATAATTGGAAAAAAAACAAACATGGAGATAGGGTAGACACGTGTAAATGAGAGTTTAAGAGTTACCTTTCAGCAGTATAAGTCAACAGATCATCACTCACATACAAGTTGAAATGGAAAATCAAAGTCATCAAGTTTCCCCGGCTGAGATTCAAGGAAGTCTTCAAAACATGAGTCAATTTCTTATCAGACCGTCCATCCACATAAACATAAGGTTCTAATGGGATTTTGATGTAGTTAGATTTCATCATTGACAAATCAAGCGTTTTCCAAAGCAGAGGATCACAGCAAGCCAAGCGCCATGCACTACAGACGTGCGCAATGCCCGAAGTTAACTGATAGATGTCAAAAGACTGAAAGATCTTCACCAATATGTCAGTATCTAGGTCCTCCCATCTTCTCACAAGGGACTCACCGTCCTCCATTTCACCAGCTTTCCAAACTTCTCCAAACAACCTTACCCCGTCACAATGTCTACATAAACAAATAAAAAGAATCAATACTCTAATGGTATGCAGGAGGAATTGAATTGACGATGAATTGAAATGAGGAGGAATTGGATTGAGGAGAGTTAGATTCTAGATTCCTATTGAAGTTGTTTACTAAACCATATGGAATTGGAGTAGGAGTGGTACTAATTCCTTATAAGCTGTTTACTAAATTCACATGAATTGGTATAGAAACCAAATTGATTACTAAAATGTCCTCATTGTTGGGTAAAAGTAAATGGCAAATTTGGAAATTTTAAAATTGTGTGAGGAATTAGAATACCACCTCCCACCCAAGAGTCCAATTCCTCCAAAATCAGGAGTTGAATTCCTGATTTTGTGTGGATCCTACTTGCATTTTGATTCCTCCATGTGAAGTAAACATAGGAGTATCCATAATAGGAATTCAACTACTTATTTTGATTCCGATTACGCATTAGTAAACATGTCATAATATTCAAGTCGCTAAAACAAGCTGCTGTACAACATTTATAAGTCCTTCACAACGCCCCTCAATATTGGGTTGTCTATAATCAAATGGATGGGTTGACCAAAAAAAAAAATTAATAATAATCAAATGGATGGGCTGGGCTGGGCTGGCTTTAAGAGTTTAAAATTCAAGGCCAACGAGTTCTAAACAAAATAAGGGTTGAGTTAAATAATCACCTTGAGGAATTATAAGGAGTCTCACAGAGGTAAATTTAGACAAAGAGATAAAGGGTCGAAATGAAAGAATAGATAAAGAGCACACATTATTCACAGCAACTTGCATAGTGATCTTAAGAGCACATTTTTTTTTGGCTAACTGTAAAATAATCAGAGCAACTAGGTTTGGATTGATTTAACAATCCTCTTTGTTTGGGAAAATAAAAAATTGACAATAAGGATAAAGCTTAATATCAGTCCTATGTAAGAGACAAGCAAATTCTATGTATTAAAAACCACAGAAATGCTAATTTACTTCGCTCATTATCCAATTTCCACCTCACACAAAAATTCAATGCCTAAAACCAAATTTTCATGACTAAAGTGAAGAGATCAACCTTGGTAGCACTGGTAGATCTTGAAATCTCCAAATCCAATTCTAAGTTGGAATAATTCAAGTGCATGGCCGCTTAAAGCTCAAATTTTGACCACGATTTTGGTGTGTAATCGTATCAGTCAGATCTATCAATCTATCTATCTCATATTCATTTCACTTCCGCAGTTCACTGAGAAACACACAGAAACATGCAACACACAAGCAGCAAACACATGCATAGAAGAGAAAGAGAGAGAGAGAGAGAGAGAGAGACAGATTACTTTTGTGCTCTGGTTCTTGAGGAGGGTTTATCAGTCATCTGCAGTTTGTTGGGTCGTCACCTGCAGTAATGTAAAGAAATATTTTGGCTTCTCCCCTAAACAAGTAACTGAGACAGAAAAGAGAAGGAAGGAAGCGGATTCTTAGGTGTCGAAATTACTAAAAAGGGCCTCTTTCCTTTTTTGTTACATCTAGCTAGCTAACCTCCTCCCACCCTCCAAAGTCTGACTGAGCCAGTTAGTTTTCTGCCCTTGTGCGTAGCTACTAGAACACCTGTCTTCTTGGGCCACGTGCTCAAATCACGTGAAGAACTTGTCTGTCTCTCAGCAACCATAACCTGCGGCTTTAAACTGTTGTCTTGTACTCGGCCTCGTTTTCACGACATTATTTAGATTCTTTTTTCTTTTTTCGGTTTCTTATCATTTATTGCAGACTGTAACATTTGGATCAGATTTTTTATTTTATTTTTTTGGGTCTGATTTGGATTGCATTCAAGTTGCTAATCTGATCCGTACATCCAAGTTTAATGCAATTGAATTTTAAAAAATACTTTAAAACGCTGCAAGAAAAATGTTGTCACCCTTTTTTTTTTAGAGTTTCACTAAAACACCCAAAATAAAGGCTGAAATTATAAAAAAACCCAACACCCAAAACTCATTATTACACACTCAAAATCCATTTATAAACACATCCAAAAAATATACAATTGTTGATTTTGAGATTGATTTTGGGTGTTTTTCTATGTTTAAATAGCGTTTGAATTTTTTTATAAATTCATATCTAGAATTGGGTTTATTTATAAATTTGTATTTTTTTTTCTCTATTGCCATATCATAATAATTCGTAGTCTCCTATTTAAGTTATGTTCTTTCTTTCTTCAGAAGCATGCAGATATGTGTATGGTTAATTACAAAAAGATGAAGATGGAGACCTCAAGAAATACAAAATTCTTCAGGCAAAATACTATCTATAAAATTGATGAAATTCGACGTTTCGAATCGGCCTCCGTCACTTGCTGCTGCTGTATCCACTGCGGCATGCATGCCGAATCACTTTCAGGAATGACTGCTTATCTGAGAAATGCACAATAATGCAGTTTATGTTTACGATTCAATGTTATAAATATAAACTACCATATACTAGTGTACCAAAACCAATGAAAACTAATAAATTTCATATTTACCTGCTTATTAACTCTCTTGCAATGCTTCTTGCGTGATTCAAATACTGAAAGCTTTTTACAGGGTCGTCAACATCAATTATGGCAGCTTTCAAATTAATAAAGAATTTCTGATATGCACCACCATTTGTCTCCTCTAAAACCGGACTCCATCCTACACAAAAGCACTCGGGAGATTCCAGCATTTCATCTTGTGCTTCTTTCTTTTGATCTGTTACCAGTGATTTTAGCAACCAATTTTTTCCATGTCTGTTTCTTGCTCGGCTGTTTACTACTGCCTCCAACCTAGCAGCCATGACAGTCGCTTGTCTTATGCACGAGGAAGGTAGCTGCAAAAACATAGAGTGCCTGGCTTAAATTACCTGAGCCATGAGAGAGAGAGAGAGAGAGAGAGAGAGAGAGAGAGGAATACCTGTGCAAGCTCCGCAACCTTAAATCCAAAGCTCCTCTCTGAAACACCAGGCACAAGCTTATATAAGTAAGTGACATCTTCATTTTCAGATTGCATGCCTACTGTATCCATATCTCTATTTGAAGTCAGATAAGAAACATGGTATGCCTCCACTGAGCCTGGGAATTCAGTTCTAATATAAGCAATTTTTGGATAGTGCGTGACAAAGAGGACCATGCATTTTTTCTGCTGTAGCAGATTATGTAATGTAGCATAAGCAATAGCCACGCCATCATGTGTACTCGTGCCTCTCCCAAGCTCATCGATGATAACCAATGAGCGTGCTGTGCAATTGTGGAGTATATGTGAAGCCTCGCTCAGTTCTTCAAGAAAGGTGCTTCTCCCTTGGTGGATACTGTCAGAAGCACCCATTCGAGTGAAAATGCCATCCAGCACATGCAGCTTTGCCGATGATGCTGGTACAAAGGAACCAACCTAAAAGAATCAGAACACACTTTTATAAAGCAACTGCTGTAAAAAATTCATTTATCAAGCAGCAAAAGGAAAGGTTTGGAACATTATGAGAATTATATAGCCATCAACTATAGATTAGTAAAATTAAAACAGTTCTATCACTTGAAGAACATAATGCACATATATGCATATTTATACAAAGAAGAAGAGGACCAGCTATGGTTACCATTATTTGATTTACTTTTTTAGCATACATACCTCCAATATGTCACTTTAAAAAAAACTCTAGTGCCATGTGAAAACGATAAATCATTGAGAGCTCTGATTTTACCTGAGCCATGATAGCAATGAGAGCAACTTGGCGAATGTAGCAACTCTTTCCACCCATGTTAGGTCCAGTAATAATCTGACAATACTCTCTGTCTGCATGCAAATCTGTGTCATTTGGAACAAAATTGTCTTGTAATGTAGTCTCTAAAACCTGGTAAGACATTGCAACCATTAAGGAGAAGCCCCCAATGAGACAAGAAATATATCCCTTTATTAATAGAGCAGCAACGGACAATCTGAAATGAGCAATAATATTGCGTGCATGCAACATTTTTATTGAAAATGCAGGACTGTTCAATTTTAATAAGGATGTAATTTGATTTCTTCAGAACTTGGGCAAACGCAATGTCTCAGCTAAAATCAGCAGAAGAAAGTGGAAGTGCCAATAGAGAGTTGAGACCTAATGTTTTTTGGCATGAGTAGTATATGAGCTGTATAGTTAACTTCAAGATTTAGGAACGTTTCTAATTAATTGTAATTATTCCTGTATTCGCATACTTTCCTTTTCTCACATACCCTGTACAGTTATAAATGCCTCCGATGGGATGGGAGAATAAATCATTAGCAAACTCTACCCTATGCTCTATTTTTAGCATGTTTGTTAATTTCAATCAAATATTAAGATCGTTTACATTTGATATCAGATGATAGAGAAGAGATCTCAACTCGACATGCAATTTTGAAGCAACCAGTAATACCACTTCAAGCATTCATAACAACTAGTCCTTAGTGTTCTTAAACCCAATAAGCATTATATATGTACCGGATGACGGCCAGATGATATATGTATCTGGACAGGTTCATCATCATATACGATCACTGGACGAACATAGTTCTGCAACACATAAGTTCATAGGATTATACTTGTAGACATAAGTTCATAGGATTATACTTGTAGACATAAGTTCACAGGATTATACTTGTAATAATTTGATGACAAAATAAGTTGTGTATTGAAGCAAGATATTCTAATTAAACCTTCAGCAGATACCTTATTTCTTGAAAGAACAGCAAGTGAATGAAGACAATCTAAACTCGCTAGTGCTTGAACAGCAGCTTGGAACTCAGCATAATATTTACCAAAACCACTTAGAAAGTTATCCCAAGCAGCACGACAGGCGATAGTGAGTTTCTCATTTGCAAGGGCTAGATGGTCTAAAGCAGTCAAAACATCAGGTGGGTGATACCGGACAGTCTTTTTGGTACTATTGATCTTAACCCAATTTGAAGGCACCTTTACATCTAAGGGCAACTGCAGGTAATGCAACATAAAATTAGATATGATATGTAACTTGCAACAGGTGTGTCCATTTTGAGAAGAATATTCCCAGAATGAAGTTAACTAACTACCTCTATCAAGTGTGTCGTTCCAGATACACTAATGAATTCCAACTTGCGCATTCCAAGCAGTTTGCGATACAAACTGATGAGAGAATCCAATTTTTCCTTTGCCAATTGAACCTCCATCCGTGCTTCAGCAACCTAACCAAATAAATTTGACAAACAAGATAGAAGGAGGGCAAACAATTAGGTAGCAACGAGTAGCCAAAAAAAAAAACATGAAATTCAGAGTATTAAGCTCATAGTACAAACCTCAGGAAATTGGCCATCAGAGATTATTAAGTTTGCTAGATCCTGTTTATCAGCAGCTTCTTTGTTAAGGGTAGACAACAGTCTTGCAGCATTTCCAATTACAGTGGATGACGAAGCAGTACATATCAACTTCCTCAGCAGGCCAGAGCGTACTTTCTTTCCTCTCAAATTTTCTTTGCTTCCCTCTTCTTCAATTTTAAGTTGCTGAAGTTGTTTTCCAGCATATAAAATAGCTTGAATCACTGCAATGAACTGAACATACCCCTTATTCAGAAACTGAAGTTACTGAACCAGCTAGGTGAGGCAAACTACTTAGTTGAGGGTACCAAGCCCAATATGCAAAAGCCAGCCTGTGAGCACACATCACTAGATTTTTTTTTTTTGGGGGGGCAAAAGGAATGTCATTACATCTTGATTTATAGGTATTCTTTCTTTACAATAATTTATTTATATATCTATCCATCCTTCTCCAAAACTACGTCATTAAATTTTATCTCAATTTTCCTTTAAAAGAAAAAAGATACAACAAAACTTGACTCTGATGGTAACAAATTAACAATCTACAAACATACGGCCAGTCAAACTAGCTGGGTAGAGAAGAAGCCGTGCGTCACCTCAGATGGAGTGCCAGTCCGATGAAAGATTCTTGTTATCCCACGTTGAATATCAGTTGACCGTCCCAAAGTTATCAGAACTGAAGAAAGTATATAATTTAACTCCGGTTTCAAATTTGTTACAAAAGAATCTTCTGCATCAAGCTGTTCAATATTCTGAGGAGCTTTAGAAGACCCCATGGATTCTGCAATCTCAGAAACAGCATCAAGACGAGCACAAATCATGTTTCTATCACATAAAGGGTGAGTTACCTGTACCATTCAAAGGAACTATCAACTACTAGAAAAAATGAAAATTTTAAATCCCAAGAGAAATTACAAAAGATTTGTAGGCAGCTCATACCCAGTGTCTAAGAAGCCTTGAACCAAATATGGTAAGAGTTTGATTCATAGAC